TTAAAATTAGTGTTATGAATATTGGCCACCTTTTATAAAACTAACCTGCCATAGTAGAGAATGACTCCCCATGTATATGAGAGGAGAAGAGAAACCTCCATTTGTGCTGGTATTTCTGCGGTAGATGACTATTTATCCATACAATATGGGATATGTCGATAAATGCAGGGTAGTCAGGCATCGCGTCCAGACCTAAGATAATTTAAATAATAATATTTCACCATACTAATATTATAAATGCGAAAATTTAGATGGATGGATGTTTGTTAGAGTTTGTAGCCCAAACGGCTGATCGGATCTCTATGAAATTTGGCACAGGTTTAGAGCATAGTCTGGAAGAACACATAGGCTAATTTTTATCCCGGGAATAGTTACGGTTCCCGTAGGATTCATTAATTTAGTTTTTTTAATGTTTACTCGATCATTCTGCAACGGTTCAACATATTTTAATGAAATTTGCCACAGATATAAAACAAAGTCTGGAGTACATATGGGATAAGCTTCATCCCCGAGACATGTCCGGTTCCCGAGAGATACGTAGTTTTTTATAATTTATATAGTTCGTATGTTTTCTAATACCACGCGGACGAAGTCGCGGGCAACAGCTCGTTAAATATAAAGTTTAAAAAAGCGCCATCTATCTGCAGTCAAAAACATTAGCTTACCATCAGGTATGGGCAGTAAAGAGGGCGCTGCCGGCGGCATTGGAGTTGGACTCTCGTCTCCTCCACGCTTATTGATTCCATACAGATTGACATAAACCAACTCCGCTAGTTGTTTTAACAAGATATTTGACTGCAGCCTGAAACAAACAGAGAATGAAAAACGATAACACATTGAATATTGCTAAAATACAGATTAAATTTTACTACACTTTAAAATGGATATTTCTATACAAAAAGATCATTTTAAACGACTCGACTATCAACTATTACACTAGCTTTCGCCCGCGACTACGTTCGCGTGGAATTAAACAAAAAAAAAGTGAATAGGCTATGTGTTCTTCCGCACTATTCTGTACATCTATACCATATTTCGTCGAAATCATTTCAGCCGTTTAGGCTACAAACTCTAACAAACATCCATCCATCTATCCATGTGTGAAGTATGATTTAATTTTAATTTCTAACCTTACTAAAGCAATATTGGCCATTTTATTAACCTAACTAAAAAGGAGATAAATATACTTCCATACATCCAGAGTCAATGAAAGCAAATTTAAAAAGTTGGTCCTTCGAGTCGGAAGGAAAGAGAAGTATAGATGATTTATGTGAAAGAGGATATGCTTAAGGGAGTGAATTCAGATACGATGGCTGATAGAGATGTATAGAAGAAATTCTGTGCTACCTTCTGTAGGGACAAAGGAAGTTTGATGATGGTCCTTCGAGTCGGATACCTTACCATTTAGAGAGCTGGGCGGCTGTACAATGATGCTGCGGTGACTCCAGGTCTCCGATAGTCGCGGTCACAGCCTCTCCTAAAGCCTGGACGTGTGAAGCACTCGCTCTGAACCCTTTCTCCATCCAAACACGTACTCTCTTAGATGATGAGGTTTTCACCATCTTGATATACGTTGATGCTATACTTTCACAGTACTGGAAATAAGTCGAAATAATTTTAATTTTGGTTGTAATCATTTTAATGATATCTTTAACGACTAAACTAAAACAGAAGAACATCAGATTCATAACATGGCCGCCATTACGGTATTCGTTTTTGTAAATCTCTACTAATATTGTAAAGAGAAAATATTTGGATTTTTGTATGTATTGAAATAACTCAAAAACTACTGGACCGATTTCAAAAATTTTTGCACCATTATAAAGCTATATTATCACTGAGTAACATAGGCTATATTTTTACGATTATTTACTATTTCGCGGGCGAATTATCGAGCAATAGTTAGTTGTTGGATATTGCGAAATTTGCGTAATAAGGTCGTTTTATAATAGCTGTTGCTTATTACTTCGTCCACGTGATATAAAAAATATAGCCTATTTTTTGCGATAACGTAGCTTTCTATTGGAAAAAGATTTTTTTTGAAATCGAAACACTAGTTTTTTAGTTATTACAATACATATATAAATTTTAAAAATAATATTTAACGATCTCACCTCTTTTAGCAACTGATAAGGCAGTTCCACTTCTTCATTGTAGTCCATACCCAGACAGTTATACGTCACCATCATTCTTTCATCCACAGTTCCTAAAAAAAAAAAAAAAACAGTAAAAATGTAGCATATCACTAACAGACAATGTAGCATTCTAATAGTTAAAAAATTTTTAAATCCGTCGAGAAGTTTTTGAGTTCTTTCGTTACAAACATATAGATTTACTAGCTTTTGCGCGCGATTACATCAGCAGGGTATTGAAAAAAAACAAAAGTGAGTAGCCTATGTGTTCTTCCTGGATATCGTCTACATCCATACTAAATTTCATGGAAATCAGTTCAGCCGTTTAGGCTACAAACACTAAGAAACATCCATCTAAACTTTCGCATTTCTAATATTAGTATGAAGTATGATTCTCTACTTATTTGTACCCACCTCTTACATTATAAACGTAGAGTTCAGCAAACCTATTGAAGTCAACTGTCGCTGTTTTCTGTTGACCAGAACCGAATAGGAAGTTGGTGAGGTATTGAGTTAATCGAGGGTCTATTTGTGGACCCCAGAATTTCTGAAAATTACATAGAAAATACGATATTATCAAAATACACAGGTGAATTTACTGTTTACTTCCGACTCATAATTTTTTCTAACGTGGTTTTTTCATCAGAGTTAATTACTAAAGACTAGACTGACATAGCTTTTAATAAACACCTGTACGAAAACATGCTATCTCTTTTTACCGTAAAGAAATTGAAAGGGATGTCAATTTAACACATTTCTAATTAGTATCCTCTTAAATTATTCAAGGGTAGACAATATCAAGTGACGTGTAAAACCACACTTCATTGAACCGAGCTGTAGAGGTGACCCAAATAAAATTTAACGAAACATACTTCGCTAAAACCCCCTAATAAACGTTAGATATCTCGCTATAATTCTACACTAATGGTCTTCCCTAAGGACCGATTACTAAGAGTGCGTTAGATTAACATTTTAAAGTAAAGTATAATTTAATTTAAAAAATATCTCCATCTCCAATTTTCAAAGAAAATACGAAGTATGGAATATATTTTTGTGGTGTATTTAAACATATTGAGGTCTCAAGGTCATGTACGCTCTGCGTTACGTAGTCCTCCGCATCCCTTTACATCCCGCTATTGAAGTTATGTTCTGAGGGCTTATCACGAATATTCATCACACAGTTTTCGTATCGTCATCGATAAAATGTGTATTAGATTTGTGACTCATTCTCTTGTACACGTTCCCTTTGTGTACTCGTAACTGTCACGGTAATATTCGTAATAGACCCTCTATGTTGCGATTTGTACGATGTTCCGAGCCGATGATATCTATCATCACTTCTGTATGATTATTTCGACATAGTTATATTCACATTTTGAAAGACTAATGAAAATATTGTTAACACTCATTTCAATCTATCAACATTTTTATGGTAATAAACATGAAAGCTTTCTTAAGTTTATTCTTCTTTCTAAAGTGATATTTCCTTTCGACTTTAAACTAAATAAAAGGAAATCATAATTCATATTTACGTCAAAAGCATTTAAAAAATGTTTATTCTTATGCTATTGCTATCACACATGATGACACCCACGTCGTGTTGGGCCACGAAATCCGCGACTGTTATTATACGATTACACTATCGTATGCATTACATAGAAACATATTCTCATCTTTTTTTATTCTTTTTAATAAGACAGAAACAGCAATATAATAAAATTTCGATGTAAATTTTACGATGACTCGCGTATGAACTTGGGGCCATTAAACTTGCGCTGTCACTTATAATTTACTCGCTTATGTAAATTAGCGCGTGATCTTACGTCACGGAAGTACTAGCCTATTTATAGAAAAGCGATTTAACGCTCATATGATGAGTAAGTGATAAAAAAAATGAGATCTTACGATTGACATTATGAAGACATTTACTTCTTTGTTACAGGGCGTAAGAACTGTTTTTTACCTCTTTGGTATGTGGGTTTTACCGACATTAAATGTGAAAAACAGTTTTCCATTATCATATAACTTCAGCCTCATGTGGGCTTATACCTGAACAAAATATCTGCATGACTACTTTGGGTTACTTGCTTCCAGCTCTAGGTGTTGATATTCTTAAGATTACGTACCACGTCTTTTTTCTATCTTAGCTTCTACCACGTACTCTACTTCCATCAGACTTACCTCTACAAGAGGAACTTTTAGTAATGTTCTAGTAAATAAATATGGTCTTTCTTTGAACTTTTAATTTAATAAACTCGTTGTTTTTTAATTATAAAACATAATTTTGTAGATTGATTAGTTAAATTAAGTAGTAAGTGTCTATATTTTTCAAATTCTATTATAGTTTTTATGAATGCTTATTCACTTATTTAACTTTTTGCTGTTAGTTTGATTATAACTCAATTGCGACGTAGAAATGTTTACTGTAAGGGTGTCTTTTATAAGGAGTAATTAAATAGAAGCCTGTCATGATGCTATTGATTAGGTTATTATAAGGTCAGTTGGTCTGTAGTCTAATCAAACGTTCATTTACACTCAGCGGGTGACAAATGTATCTATTATCTAATTTCTTATATCTTTATTAAGAAATATTGCAAATTGTTACTTCTTTTTTGGTTGCAAAATATTTTTCAACTCGTACTTCTATTGTATTTTGAAATTGGTAGTTTTTTAAATAATTTAATACTTGCGTATATGAAACAAAGTTAAAAATTCTTGGCTAATATTTCACAGCAACGCCAATATTTATACGCGGCGCCTGGTTTCCATCAATTCTACTACATAATAATAGATTGTAAGCATTGTGTATGGTTTGAGCCATTAAAACAGCGGAATAAGAAGACTATTTTTAGGTCAAAATAATGTAGTATGTACTGAGGACATATTTAAACAAATTGATTCTATCTTTACTAATCGATTGCATCAATTCTTTAGTATTTACGGCTTTTCGTAACGAACACAATAATAAAACCAGCAGAAGCACAACTAGGCCGTTCCTAAACAGAAAGAACCGCAAACCTTTTACAATAACATGAGAGAAGTAGACGTCATTAGAGTGAACTTTTGTTTAATATCGGTCACTTATAACGCGAATTTCATAGCCACACAAGCCACCGTCAGCTAAAATACTTCCCGACATTGTTCGACAACAAAAAAAATAAACAGTCTCTAGCTGAGCGCGCCCTGTTTATATCTGCAGATTGAATTTATGCTCTCATTACCGGTGTCCCGTACATTGGTTCTTTCATTCACAAATACTCGCTCGTACTAAAGTTATTAATTTAAAATTCATAAATAAAACAACATAATAAATGTGTATACGTAAATTGACAAAAGGTAACCTTCAAAAGAATGAATAGTCTACGAGTTAACTAGTGCGTTCATATATCAGCTTACTTTATTTAGCTAGGATTTTACTTTAGCGCTAATTCACTGTTAATTTTTTTTTATATTATAAGGTGGCAAACGAGCAAGCTGCCACCTAAATACGCCAAAATGACGAAGCGACCTCTGCCCATAGACATTCGTGATAGCGGATGCGTTGCCTACCCTTAATCGACGGAGAAGGAAACGCACATAAAGAGGATATTTCGTCCTCCTATGCGTCCCCTCCACCGTCAAATCCACGTTCCCTTTCCATCCTATTCTTATGAGAAAGAGGGTGGAAAGGAAAACGGACTAAAGTTGGGCCTTCGGCACCACACTCATCAGACGAAACGCGGAATTACTCCCACTTCACTCCTGTTTTCTGTGTGGTCGTGCTATAACACCGGGCGAGCCGGCCCATTCGTGCGAAGATGTTAATTTGACAAAGTGAATTGATACAATCTAGAATCAGTGAGCTAAAGATGATGTATTTGTTGCTTTTGAAAGAGAAATTTATATGTGCTTATGTGTAAAAGATGGCCGTGAGTCTAAATAACCCCTTTACTCTAAGGGTTAACACACGAACTTAGTAATTTTAAAATAATTTAGGCGTTCAAATAGCAATAAATAATTATACACTGTACATAGCGTGTACAGAAAGTTTATGAGTCAGTCCATCACAGTTTAGATAATAGCCTCAGGTGAGAATGAACAGTTGCGTTTCCTCGCGCCCACGCACGCTAAACAGTTCGAACTGGATTTATATAAAATGCATTTAATTTGACGTATTTTACTATAGTAACTGGCCAAAAATGTCACAGGACTGGACAAAAGTTAGTAAAAGAACCAATGCAATAATGTGTACAAACGTGGCAATTTAATCGAAGTAACCCGCCGCCATATTGCCAACGCATTAACTTTCGCGCCAAAAAATGCGCCGGATGTAAAACAATTCGCGCCAAAAGTATTCGATTGAACAGTTGGAATTCGAGCTGAGATTTAGCGTTTGCCACCCACGTCGAGTTAATAAACGCGATTTTACAGTCCGCCTGCAAAGTTTGACGACACGATTTGGTGAAAATCTTGAGTAATTTGGCGCAAATACACAAAGTGCGGTTATTTGAACGTTGGTTGTGTGTAATTTAGGCGGGAAAATAGTAATGTCTGAAATCGTATTAACGTCTGCTATTGTTTTGTAAATCAAGTTCTTTCCGTCTTTATGTCATTCAATACAACATATTACTTTTGCTATACTGTCTTTGTATGCGAGTTGTAAAACTGATATTTGTACTGTCTATCCATTATCTAATCTATGATGATTCATAACGCACAAGCAAATTCTAAGATGTTACAAAAATTAAGAAAGATATCGGAAATACTTTTCTTTAAATACAACTCGACTATTTTAGTCATCTTGTTCCTTTATTATGCGAAGTACGTGAAGAAATGCTAAGTTAAAAGCTTGCACGTATTCGTTAACTTAAAAAACACAAAGTAACATGACTTGAGACAACCAACATAATTTAGTTTGATGTAATATTTACAAGGGTGGCGACCCTGTTTGCGTCTATCGCTGCCCGCTGACGTCATGGCCCTACCCATTGTCGCACTGTGTCTATATAGCAGTCATTTGTCAGACATTTTTATTTGAGTAATCTTCGAAATTACCTTCGCGATTTTACAAACAGCATTTATTAGTAATCGCTTTATATTTAAAGGCTTTTATTCGAAAGTAGCTGTTGGTCGTGACTTAATCGGTATGAAATTAAAAAAATAATAAAAACTATCGTCTACGTTACTCAATGATAACGGAGCTATTTAATGGTACATACAACAATACAAATCTTTCCTCTTTATAATATTAGTATAGAATATAGATTAGTATGTATAAATAAAAAAATGGGGATAGAATAGCTTAGTAAGAGAATGTAATTTTATGTACCTATTCCAAGTAGTAATTGCTACTTTCTTTTAGTTTTACTATATTTAATTTTAGGTAGAATTTAACGTAAATAGGGATGTCCGAGGTGATTTCCCGCACATCCACATACCCCAAGCTTTAAAGCTTTATTCCTCATTAACTATATTTTTCTTGGTAACCCTAATCCTGGAATCTAGTCCAACTATTTCGAGAACTTTTAATTTTTTTTTTCATAAACATTTCTTGTTTACGGTCACGGCATTATCGAAGCTATAATCGGTTTTTAATCACTTCAATGTTGCAATAAAGTTAAATTCATTGGCAGCTTTTGCATCAAAAGCGCGTCTGTTGATATGTTATAGTCGGTAATAAAAAAAATAACCAAGTTTTTTTTACATTTCTATTAAAATTTCAACTGAATAATAAAAACATTTATACCGAGAAAATTGTAGAATCCGAGAAAAGTTTTCTGTATTCTAATTTACAGAAAATTTTAACGGACATGAAGCGAGTATCTAATATAAAAAAATGGAAATGTTTGTGTTTTTTTAAACGAATAAACAGAAAACCTGTGAATTTTAAAATATATTTTGCCAATAGAAAGCTACATTATCAAGTAACATAAGCAATTTTTATTACAGCTGTTGCTTGCGACATAGCCCGCGTGATATAAAAAATACCGTATATTATACACAGATAAATTACCTTTCTAACGGTGTAAGAATTTTTAAAATCGGCGCAGTAGTAGCTGTTCCCGTGCGACTTCATTCGCATGAAATTATGAAATTGTTTTATTGATTACATTTGTCAAATTCAATTGCAAATATCAGAATGACAGACATGACATGATGACAAAGCATGGCATTTTTGCTTCCTTGATGTTGGCAGCAACTTATGGTCTCTTTCCCACTTTAGGGTTTTTATTCAAAATATTTACCCCTAAGTTTAATGGCGTGAAAATATGAAGCCTAAAGCATGACGCTCGTGTAGGGCTTTTTACTAAAAAAAATCTTATTAAAAAATGTGCTGGAATTGCTGACATCTTAGGCAACAAAGAAGTGTGTGTTTACGCTTTATTATAATAGGTATAGAAAAGTATAGATAGAGTATAGATTAGAATATGAACTATTATATTGTACAGTTAAAGGTCTACACGCACAGTTTGTTTAGTTAAGACTGTCCAAAATGAGCGTATACGTAGCGGGCTTTAGATGACAATTGACAGTATGGTTTATTATATTTAGGCAATGGAAACCAACTACACGTCCATACTCGTTAGTACCACTCTCCAACTCCATACATCATGTTGATGTGAACAATAATAGGTAAGACGTACGATCTCTAAGATAAAACTGGTGGCGATAAAATTTAGTGATTAAGTAACGGCTCGTAAATACCGACGTCCGGTTTACTGCGAGTCGGACAGTGAGGGGAATCAGGTGGCCATGCCTTCCTACATATTGTTCGCTGACTTGAGAATTTGAATAAAAATTTGTACAAAAGTCCACGAGATGAATGTATTATTTATAAGTGTGCATGCAGTTTGCTCTTTAAGACCAGTTAGTTTGCAGTAACAGTGGTAGAGCCCGCTTTAACATCTCCGCACTGTAGGGCTTGCTCGGTGCAATACCACACAGACGACAGGTGTGAAGTGGAAGCAATTCCGCGTTTCGATTGATGAGTGCGCGTGCCAGAGGCCTAAATTTCCCTTTCCCTTTTCACACTTTTCTTATAAGGGAAGGATGGATAGAAAAAGTGTATTTGACGGCGGAGGTGACACGGGAAGGTCGCTTCGCCATTTTGGCGGATTCAACTGGCCGCTTGCTCGTTAGGTACCTTGTTTTAAAAAAGTAAAGGCCTAAATACATGGATTGCTTGAAAAATTTACAACTTCAAGGCCGACGGCATAGGGTTAACAGAATTTTTAACGGTTTGCGAATTGATCATGTAACGCAAAACAATTTCATCCATCCATCTCGTATACTTCTAGAGATTCTGAGCAGCCGAAGTGTAGTAATGTAGAGCACAAATACCGTAATTTCTGGAACGTTCTATTTCTATATGTACTTTGTGGGGAGGCGTTCATTTGCCGAATCGTAATTCAAAATGTACAAACAATCGGACAATTACGCGCGGTCGTGTAAACTCAGGTCACCGGTTCCCGACATTGTGTTGGTAAGTGTTGACAGAGCGTACTTGCATGAAATATACGATGTTAACGAACGCCGTTTTACGTAAATACTTGAAATATAATTATTGTTAACATTGTAGAGAAATTAAGGAGTAAAAGGTTAGCATGGTATGGGAATGTTACGAGGGATGAACCACATGTAACAAGAAGGACGTAAGTTATGAATGTGGAGGTACACCGGTGGAGACCTAGAAAGAGATGGATGGATTGCGTGACAGGTAACATGATCAAGAAGAGAGTGATGACTGAGATGACGGATGATAGAGTTATTTGGAGGACGAAAACGCGGTGTGCCAAGCCTACGGAAGTTGGATAAGGTAGGGGAGATGATGAATTATATTCAACATTGGTTTTAATGTTACATTTTGCGTAATATGACATCTATATAAGTGTCGCCAGGTGCGGTTATGAGGAAAGCTGCACCTCCCCCTAAAGGATCGATAATTATAAAATAGATATAAAAATTACTTGGAATAAGATCATAGGAATGGTAGCTCCCCCTCCCCCTTTAGTCTTACCCTTGATACTACAAACTTAAAACAAAAATATGTCATCCCTTCCATTGTATTTTTAAAACCAAGTAACATGGTTCTGTACAGGTGCTTTTCTCAGTGAAAATCCATTGGTAGACTCCAACTTGCAGTCTATCAGACAGAGATAAAAGTCAAGAATACAATTATTTTATCTGTGTAAAACTTATGATGCTGATTTGCTGGTCATAAAAAAATTTAAAAAAAAAACTGTAAAACTGAAAACGACAAACTAAAATAAACTTTAAATTATACGTAACATTACATACATTAGACACAATTTGTTATGATTTCGAACATTTGGACAAATATTAAAAGTTAACTAAAGAAGCGCAATTTAGTAGAAAACCCACCACCCTATGTATGTAATATTTTCAAATGTACTTACAAATTAATACACATTTTTCGGCCAGCTAGATACGGTACAGGATATTAAAAAAGGGGAACAACGAGACTATTGATTATTTTTTTTCACTTTAGTACGTTTTTGTACAGATTATTATTTACTAGAACAATGAAGGGGTGCTTAAAAAGTAAATAGACATTAGTAAACTTGAAAGAATACTTCTTTGACGAAAACGAAATTTTTTGAATATTTTAACCTATTTATAACTAAAGCTTTTCAGTTTTATTTCATTTTTTTACTAGCATTTGCCCGCGACTCCATTCGCGTGGAATTAAAAGTGAGTAGCATGTGTTTTTCCAGGCTATCCTCTACATCTACACTAAATTTCATAGAAACCTGTTAAGCTGTTTAGGCTACAAACTCTAACAAACATCCATCCATCTAAAGTTTCGCATTTATAATATCAATAAGAAGTAACATTGTAATATAATACTTCTTTGTATTTATAAAATACGATTAGGTGAAATTATCCGACGCGTTTACGACGTAATGGTAGCAAAAATATGTTTGGACAATAAATAATTTACGACCAATAACAATGGTGGCAGCCTCTCAAAATGATTTCTGTTACAACAATAAAACTACAAAAGCTATAACAATTTTTGTTTGTGGTCACACAGGTATTTATGGCTATTCTTAAAATATCTTCATCGCCAATTCGATGTATCGATTTTAAAAATCGATTTACCGTCTGGAAAGTCGTTGGTCAAATAAACAAAAACAAAACGAAAGAAAATTATCACTGGCCAAAAAGTAAAACAAAAAATGAAATTAAAAAATCAAAAATGAACACACTTCCAGCAACACTGCATCTACTTTTCCACTCACGATGAGATCATCCTCCCTTATCCTTTCGGAGTTCTTGCTGGCCGCTCTGAATGTGGCCGCTACATACTTCTGTTCCTCTTTAGTCAGTAGGGTGCATTTAGCTGCCAGTTTCTTACTTGTGTTCCCCATCCTGGAATAAAACCTTCATATCAGTAATTCCTAAAGAAATCCATCTAGGGAAGACCCACGGAGGATTTACAATACTAAGAAACAATGTAAAAAATGTATTAACAGCGGTAGAGCCCGCTTTAAAATCTTCGTACCAATGGGTCAGCTTGCCCGGTGTAAAAAAAAGTTGCAATAGCCATTCATTCAAGTCTGAATAATTTTTAAAGCTTATAAGAAAAATAGTTTGGAAACATAATACAAAATTCTGGTGAGGAAGGAGAGTTTATTACCAAACATGTGGTATATTAAATTAAGGGCCTGTCCCACCAAATTGTAAATTGTCTGATAATCCAACATGTAAAATTTGTGATAGAAATATCGGATTTTTTTTCCCTTATCTGACAGTGACATCACTTTTAAGCTATCTGAGTCTCTATCATCCAGTGGTGGGAGAGGCCCTTAAATCTGTAAAACAGTCTTTCAAAGAACAATAAAATGTGTAATAAAAATTTGACAGTCATAATAATCTAAAAACACAGCTAAATGAAGCACTAGGTTATCAAAACATGAAGAATACCACATTTAAAACATCTCAAACACATTTCTAGAAATAAGATTATAATGAAATGACATTTAATCCTTAGCAACAACACAATCAGAAGTAATAACAGACAAACAAACATGACGTAGAAACTAAGTAGGAGAAAAAAAAATGTAATTAACTAAATAAAAGATTATAAATCATTGTGATGCTGGCCGGATTGGGTCCACGCTCAGCTTTGAATGCTGAATACTATTACTACTTTCTACTAAACCACAAGAACAGTTCACAAAGTGTTAGCAAACATCTATACTACAATTATAAAGAGGAAAGATTTGTATTTTTGTATGTATTTGATTCATGCAAAAACTACTGGGTTGATTTAAAAAATTCTTTCACCATAAGAAAGGTAATTAATCTGTGAGTAACATAGGCTACATATTTTTACTATGAATACTTAATAAACAACTGAGTTAAAGTTTTTACAACTGTTCATTGGATTACTAATATTAGAACTTTAACTGAGATATTGATAATAAAATATCTCAATACATTTCTATCAAATATTTTTATCCAGTAGTTGGGATATCAAGTCTCCATTATTTAAATACTTTTATAGAAAAAGTAAATAAGCATTTGTAACAATAAAATGTTCATAACATTTTCATTAGAAATACAACTGGCCAATAATTAATTATATAACAATATTTATAATTTAAAACAATATTGAATTAAAAAAAAAATTAACATTTGCTTGATCCATTTTCCAATAAATTTTATTGATTCCTATAAGAATGTTTTACAACAGCTTAAGATTTTTAGACAAAAACTGACGAAAGTATATTTAAATTTTGTGGTATCTATTAATTTTAACTTAATCAACATTGAGACAAAAATACTATGTAAGATTTATTACTACGGGCGCACTAAATTAGTAAAACTTAAGACGTGAAAATCACGAGATACTTAACCCTGACAAGTTTTCCGTAATCATACTTACAACACGTTCAAACATCCAAACAAGGGTACAACAGGAAAATTATTTAACGTAATAGATAGAAAAATTATACCTAAATATTCTAAAGCTAATAAAATTATATAAATCATCAAATATATACCTGTATTAAGCAATAATAAATTCCATTTATTTACACTATCTTTATATACACATTTAAATTGTTTTTCTCCTAATATTATTCGAATTGAACATAATCGCGAAAAGCGAGATAACCGCTAAGTAATCAAAAAATTATTACGTATACTTTTACGAAATGTATTTACTTAAATAATTTAAATCAATAAATTTTTATCACATCAATACACAAACACTTCATAACAATAAGGTTACCTGTCAAAATAATTTTATTTACTTTTTCTAATCAGTGACAAAGTTATAAAGTCACCGGCTCACTTCAGTGCGTCCACAAACACAATCCACGTCAACGTCGCAGCACTACTTCCAGCAACTGTGTAAAACAGCCTTATTCTTATCGTGATTTTTTTTGAATTCCAGAAATAAAATCATCATTCATACAGATTCGTATTTTAAGCTTTACTAGATTTATTTTTAAGCTTGAAAGTAATCTTTTCATATTGTGCATTATTTTAAACTCAAATACTTAAACACCATTACCGTGTTTTAAAATTGTAAACATTCAGACATCAGAAGATTTTTTTAGCTTTGATTGACTTTGATGTGCGAATTATAAAGGTAAAGAAATAAACAAAGCAAAATGTAGTCGTTTATTATTTATTACTAATTTTCGTATACCTTTTCCATCTGTCTTATATTTGTAAAAATTACTAGTCCTCGGCTTTATAAAATTTATGGTATTCGTTTTTAAGATTCTTTGAGGATACACCGTACATAATTCAATATTTTACCAATGTGAAAATTGTCCAAAACATAGACCCAATAGTAATTGCTGAGTAACCTTTGATGGCTTTATGAAATTGTTGGTTTTCAATTTTTCCAACAGTTTTATGAAGTAGTAACAATAAATGGATTTGAGGAAAGATACTTAAAGCCGTTGCGACAAATTTTACACGCGGACATAAGAACTTCGGCAACCATGCACCGATCAAAATGAATCCAAAGATAGTACAACTCAGTATTGCGTTATTGTGCGGATTATTTGGGTAAATAACGGATCCAATTAAATAACTCCAGTGTGCTAAGGATCCTAGTCGGATTATCCATAGCATTTTTATAAAGTAACAACTTATTATAAAAGACAAAACAGTTGATATAATAACCATTCCTGAATTTAAATTAAAATTCTTCTAACATGGCTTAATAGTTGTTATTGAGATAAGCTTGTTTCAATTTACTATCAGATATTTTTGTTACTTTTCATTTCATGTTATACAAAGAACTGTTGGAATGTAAATTTAATTTTACATTGTACGTTACATTGTTCGTTTGCCGGGAATTTTTGACAATTGAATTGACATCTATAATGTCTGTGTATAATTTCTAACAGATATATTTTTAATTCCAGATTAAGTCAAGTAATAAGCGTTAAAATAATTTAAAACATTCAAAAATACATCTTTGATAAAGCAAACGACAAACACCAACTTAACTTTAACATCGGCCTAGTTTGCTTTAAGTATGTGAGCACCCGTGTGTAGAATGCACATGCACTTTAGTATTACTATAATCACTAATTTTTGACTTAACCCCATTTTACATTGTTTTGTAGATTCGTGCTATACTGTAAAAAATGAGAAAGAACTGTAATTGTCCAAAACAATTGCTTTTGTTAAAAGATTTTTTCATTCATCGCAAGTAATAAGTCGTAATCCAATATTTATACTGGCAATTATTTTCAACATGACTCGGAAAATATCAATGTGTCACTTCAAAGTAAGCTTTTAATTTTTAACTCATTGTTTGAGCTATAAAGCTAAATTAAATAATAAAAGCAATTACTGGTCTGATGAGAGTGAGACAACTCTCAAAATGACTTTAACTAAAATGGAAGTAGACCCTGTAAAGGGCGAAGGTTTTAGACCTTACTATATCACCAAGATCGAAGAGTTGCAGCTGATTGTTGCTGAGAAATCACAGAATTTGCGACGTTTGCAAGCCCAGCGTAATGAACTCAATGCTAAAGTACGTATGCTTCGTGAAGAATTACAATTACTTCAGGAACAAGGTTCGTACGTCGGCGAAGTGGTCAAGCCCATGGACAAAAAGAAAGTACTCGTAAAGGTACACCCCGAAGGAAAATTCGTTGTTGATTTAGACAAGAATGTTGACATCAACGATGTCACCGCCAACTGCCGTGTGGCTCTTCGCAATGAGAGCTACACACTGCATAAGATTCTTCCCAACAAGGTAGATCCTTTAGTCTCTCTTATGATGGTCGAAAAAGTGCCAGATTCTACTTACGAAATGGTTGGTGGATTAGACAAACAAATTAAAGAGATCAAGGAGGTCATTGAACTTCCTGTGAAGCATCCTGAACTGTTTGATGCTTTAGGTATAGCTCAGCCCAAAGGAGTGCTGCTATATGGTCCACCTGGCACTGGTAAAACCTTGCTGGCTCGTGCTGTGGCTCACCACACTGAGTGCACCTTCATTCGAGTCTCTGGTTCTGAGTTAGTGCAGAAGTTCATTGGAGAAGGAAGTAGAATGGTGCGAGAATTATTTGTTATGGCCCGAGAGCATGCACCCTCTATCATTTTCATGGATGAAATTGACTCAATTGGATCCTCCCGTATTGAGTCTGGCAGCGGTGGAGATTCTGAAGTACAAAGAACTATGTTGGAGTTGCTTAACCAACTTGATGGCTTTGAAGCGACAAAGAATATTAAAGTGATTATGGCTACAAACAGAATTGACATCCTTGATCCTGCGTTACTCCGACCTGGTCGTATTGACAGAAAGATTGAGTTCCCGCCACCGAATGAGGAAGCTCGTTTGGATATCCTCAAGATCCATTCAAGGAAGATGAATTTGACGAGAGGTATCAACTTGCGTAAGATAGCCGAGCTGATGCCTGGTGCGTCTGGTGCGGAGGTAAAGGGTGTGTGTACGGAGGCAGGGATGTATGCTCTCCGTGAGCGTAGAGTTCACGTTACCCAGGAAGACTTTGAAATGGCTGTTGCCAAAGTGATGCAGAAAGATTCTGAGAAGAATATGTCTATTAAGAAACTATGGAAGTAATCTTATACTGTTTTCTGCTTTTTGTAACTTAGATTATTAATAAATTTAAAATATCTGCTTTAAATTATTGTTTTATTTTAGTGAGTTTCACTATTTTGTACTACTTTCACATTATTTTTAATTCATACAAGCAAAAGTTCCTTTAAACTATAATTAACTATGCCAATATTGCTTTTACTTTGCTATCATGTAACAACCATTAAGTATTATAAAATAAGTTTTAAAATTAAACAATTACATTGAGTAACACAAATTTATTAAAAAAAATAATAAACATATCTCAGCTCCAAACACATTAATTATGTTCCATCATAATTAAATTAAAATTAATGAAAAACATTGAAAAATAGATCTAAATTATAAAATAAATGCATATTTATATTTATTTATAAAACAATCTTAGATATATTTACACAATTTGTAAATCTGCCTGCAGATTACTCAAATACAAATTAAAAAACAATTATTATATTAATTCCTAAAAATTCTTCTTGTTTCTCTTAAATCCATATCTGATTCAGTGTCAGAGTCCTGTCTCATCTGCGGAGAATCAAATCTGATGCCTGCAGTGCCCTGAAACATTTAACATCTCAAACTACGCTACAAGTCTTACTGTTAGAGGTCTCGCCTAGGTATCTTTATATCTGGTGCTCCAAACTTGAGTAGTCAAACAGAGTTCTAATACTAAATTGTAACACTTAGGGCCTGTCCCACCAAATTATGTGTAAAGTATGTGACGGAAATATCGGATTTTGTTCCCTTATCTATCAGTGACGCCATTTTAAAGCTATTTGTGCCTCTATCAGCCAGTGGTGGGACAGGCCCTTAGTAAACACGAGGCGAGTGTAGTTGTATGTAGCACATTGTAAATGATTATTTTAATATATTTTAGTTTTACTAAACTTACAATCGGCCGGTTGGTTCTCGGCAAGGACTGCCTCCAAGCGTCTCTCACAAACTGCAATGGGTTAACAAATTCGTTTGCTATGTTTCTGTAAATAATAATCATACCAATTATTGAACTTACTACAATAGTGTAACTAGTCTATACTAATATTATAAAGAGGAAAGATTTGTTTTTTTGTATGCATTGTATTAAGTCAAAAAATACTGGGCTGATTTTAAAAATTCTTTCACTATTATAAAGCTATGTTATCTGTGAATAACATTTCTTATCATTATTTTTATTTTCACGCGGGTGACGTCGCGAGAATACCGAATACATCGGTGTGCTACGTCCCATATGTCCCTATTCCCTCACGCATACTTCGCACCATCCATACTTTATTCAATCTTTAATCTTTGTAGCCATAAACAATCTCATAAGTAGTTAATCTTATCAAAAGGAATTAATTACCCGAAATTAGGTGCTATACTGAAAACGGGATTGTCCAAACCAAGATTGGGCATGGTTTCCGAACCATTATTTTGATAACGTACTCTGAAAAAAAAAAACAATTTAAAAGAAAAATATTGGTGGTAAAAAAAGTGCTAAAATGTTGATAGCAAAGTTTGTGTAAAATTACTGTGAGGGTAAGATTTTTAACGTTAATTCAAAATTTCTTAAAAAAGGATAAGCAAAAATGGATTGAAATAGATTATTGGGTTCGTCTAAGTTTTCTCTTAAAAAAAATACTAACTGCATGTATTCCCCAGCTCGATTCTTAGTTGGCTTCCTGACAAAGTGATAGTAAATAAATAGACAGATGTAAGCGCCGAAAAGCGTTAGTACAATCGCAACCAGCGTGTACGAGTACGCGTGACGTACATAGTCTTGTTGCAGCCAGCCGTTGAATAATGGTAACTGAAAAATAGGTTAATTTTCAAACTACCTACTGTTAAGAAGTTAGTACCGTGCTATAGAACTGGTGCAACACTAGATTATCCCGCATAAACGTTACGTCCCTAGCTGAGCTGACAGCTGTCAATGTGGATTGATGATTCGCGCGCATTCCTGGCGCTGGCGAGATCTCTAGTGAAGTGTTTAAATTAATATCGCTAGTTACAATTATATCAATTGTTTAAAACTACATTTTTGTTCAGGTAGACATTTAATGTTAGTGATTCCCAAAGTTAATTACAGTTTTGTCTTATCTCAATTAGTCCAATGGGAGACCAGATTCTGGGCGTATGATGGCGGAAATTCTAGAATTATTAAGAAGAAAAAGAAACTAGTGTATTAATTTTTAAAGCTAAATATACCTGTGCTTGTTTAACCAGCGGGCAAGTACCGTCAGTACTGAGGGCGCCACTGTCGCACACGCACGCCGGCCCCGCGTCGTCCAGCGTGCACACGCCCGCGCACGTCACTCGCTCGCATTCGTCCGTCACGTCATCACGTTGCACGCTCTCGTGACGTATCACGAATGTGTTAGCGTCAAACAGCAAATAAAGGTAAGGCTCACACGTTTTCACGCCGTGCAATAGACAACGGTTTAATTTAAACGAGTTTGCGCCAAGAAAGAATATTGAATCTTCGAATATAGCGAGACCGTGAGGTGCTTGGAGGCTACGGTCGTTGGAAAGTACTGTTTTCCTGTAAAAGTTTGTGCAAGTGATATACTTTTTAAATACTTTTTTATGCCATTAATTGGAGCACATTGAAGATTTTCATCCGTGAAATTCGTAAGATAATGATGTCAACACGAAAAAAAAGAAAAAATTAAGAAAAACTCCGGATTTCGGGAAGATGATGTATTTGGCTGATAACAAAAATTTCATTAAAAAAAATTGTCTGTCTGCAAGCCGCGTTTGTTCCGGGTAATCTTCGAAACGGCTTGACCGATTTCGACGGGACTTTCATTGCAAGGTAGCTGACATAAATAGGAATGTTATAGGCTACTTATTTTTTAATTGCGCGCTGTCGGAATGGCGTAACAGGTGGTCCTTGTGGTAACGAAGTTTGCAGGCGACAGCTCGTGTTGTATAATTGTAGTTGTATCAAAACGTGCACTTACATATTGTTCCCTTCATAATCCATTCGCAGTATATGAGAAGGTCCTGTTTCCGCGACATATAGCATCCTTGTGAAGGAGTCTACGGCGACTCCGGTGCAGTTCCTGACAGTGGCGACATCTGCCAGCCGTCGGCCGTTCAATGAAGCAGACCTCACAACTGACTCCAGTTCGCGGTTGATGCAGTAGAACATGCGGCGAGCGGCTGGGTCTATTGATAATGCTGTCACCTGGTGAATAATTAAATATATTCAGGTACTTAAAACTCCATAAATTCGCAAAGAAATCTTTAGCGACTTCATGAAACGTTTTATTCAAAGACTATTAAGAAGTATATGGACTAGACATAGGGAACAACGTTTTTTCGAAGATAACTTCTTTGTACGGAAATATCTCAATGTCAAAGACACGTCGAGACGCTTCAAAAATTCATTGAACATTAAAAAGCTATGTTGTCGCTGAGTAACATAGGCTATATTTTTAAATTTCACGACGACGAAGTTATTGCTAATTTTAGATATGACGGTTATTTCCTAGTTATATCTGACCTGAGCATCAGTGGGCAACTTCTGCAGCTTGGCGCATCTCTTCTTCCGCATGCTGCAGACGCGGAAGCAGCTCGCGGCTGGTGTGCTGTCCACGAAGTACACGTTGCCAGTTATCCAGTCCACACCCACCTGGGAAAAACTAGACTAGAATCCACTGGCCCAGTAATGTGAGAATATCTAAGTGGAAATCTCCACTAAGCGTTACACAGTAGGATATATGTCTACTGCAAAGACATTAAAATGATATATAGATGAGGCATAGTGTGTTTTAATTTTTAGGATCTATCTGTGATGTAATAGTGTTGTTTATGTGAAAAATGTTTCAAGTGAAGTGTAAACTGTGCCGATTCTATATATGTAAAGCTCTGTTATATTTAGACGGTAGATAGAATGGATTAGAGTGCGCACACCTTTGACTAATCTATCGCACAACTGAGTCTCTTTGATTCCTATGAGCTTATATAGAGGTGCGAACAATACCCATTTTTTTGTTTTGCAACTAAACAGTTAGCTGCGAAACAAACGACAATTACAAAACAGTTGTGTTCTCTTATGCGTGCTTAATGAATGGGATAAGGACAGACAGATGTTTGAAATGAAGTAAAGTTTGTTTCTACCTTTGTGGGTCTACCGACGTTAGTGACGGAGACATCATCCCTTGTCGCGTTCACTTCTATAAGTTTCCCAGATGCGGCTGATGCTACGTACAGCAAGTTCTTCCTAAACATTACATCATAAACTATTGCTATCTCTGTTTTTTTTTTAAGAATGAGAGGGATAGCAATCATACTAATATTATAAATGCGAAAGTTTAGATGGATGGATGTTTGTTAGAGTTTGTAGCCTTAACGGTTGACCGGATTTAGATGAAATTTGGTAAAGATATCTATATGCTCTAACATAGTCTCGAAGAACACATAGGCTACTCACTTTTGTTTTTTTTAATTCCACGCAAACGGAGTCGCGGGCGAATGCTAGTAAAATAAAGTTTTTTACGATTATGCCCGCTTCACTTTCAAATAAAACTGAGCGTATTTATCAATACTAATATAATAAAGCGTAAACTACTTCGTGGCGTAAGATATCAGCAATCCAAAAAAGCCCTAAACTTATGACAACCTTTAGGCTATATATTTTTACCCTATTAAACGTAGGGGGTATATAAATTGAAAAAACCTTGATGTGGGAAAGGTACCATAACCTACAAGCTACAATCAAGGAAGCAAGATTATCATGGTTGTTATTTGTGCATTTGAATTTTGACATTTGTAATTGTATATTTCGCGAATATAAAAAAAAAGTTTTTATAATTCCATGCGAAAGAAGTCGCACTTACCTAACATTAAAGTCTAGATCATTGATAGATGCTAGATTGGCATCATGGTATTCCAGCCGCTGCTTGTAGTCGGGGAAGACGGCGCGCACCGTGTTGCCGGACACGTATAGCACGGACACGCCGCCGCGCACCGCCTTGCATGACCGGCTGTCCGACCTGCATAGCGGGTACTATGAGTGCACGATAACATCATACATTTTAGTAAACTTTATACAGTGACCAAAGACAAGCTTTAATGGCTATGCGTATTGTAGCCAACTAAAGCAAAATCTCTTAACGACACGAATCGACAGTACAGCAATCTTACCGATATTACTAATATTATAAATGCGAATTTTTAGATGGATGTATGGATGTTAGAGTTTGTAGTCTAAACTGCTGAATGTTTTTAATGAAATTTGGCATTTATCATACTTATGTATTTTTTATTCAACGCAATCCACGAAGTCGCGGACGAAAGCTAGTTATTTTAGATAGGAAAATTTTTGTTTCTTTGCATGTATTTAAATAACTGAAAAACTACTGGGCCGATTCCATAAAAAATCTTTCACCATTAAATAGCTACTTTATAATTGAGTAACATAAGTTAACTACGAGTAGTTATATATTTTTCCCAGACAAAGTTGGGAAGCAGCTAGTTAGTAAAACTACTAGAATAAATAGTGGCGGTTAGCCGAATTAAAAAATAACCTCAACGCATATCCATGA